ATGAACATTGAAAATGCACAGAATGAAAAATGCTTGATTATCGAAAACGTATTGGTATGTTCCGTGCTCGTTTTGATCGGCGGAGTTGGTCAGCTTCAACGTTTGCTGGTGTCGCTGGCCCGCCTCCCATTTCGGCTTCTTGAATTGCTTCCTTCGAAGGGTTAGGCGTTGTCTGCGTTGGCGTGTCAGTTGTCGGTAACCTAATTGCCGATGAGGGTTGGAATTCCCGTGTTTGGTCTGCACCTAGAACGAAACTTTTATCGGGGTTATGGCATACCGGCTGAGATGTGTCCGCCTCAGGCAATACTGCTTGATCACCCGCTACTTCTGTGGTCATCTTACTGCCTACCTTCCTCAGCTGATCGACATGCCTCTTCCAAACCCGACCGTCGTCTAATCGAATGTTGTAGTGCAACTCTCCCAACACCTCGACTACCGTTCCGAAACGCCATTTTTTGCTCGCAAGATACTCCCGTGCTGCCACTCTCTCTCCTGTCACAAATTTTGCCGTCACCGCTCTGCGTTCGTAGACAATTTGCTCGTTTTGTGGTAGAAGTAAATCTAATCGGGACTGCATTTGGCGCCCGAGCATAAGCATGGATGGTGACTTCTCCGTCGCTGGGTGAATTGCCCTTCTATACGCCAGTAGAATCTTTGCCAATTCACAGTTCATGCTTGTCGCGTTGCATTTAGTAGCCAAAAGTTTGTTTTTTATCGTTTGAACAAACCTTTCCGCCTGCCCATTAGTGGCGGGATGGTATGGTGCTCCCATCTTATGAATAATACCATTCAACTTTAAAAAATTTTGGAATTCACTGGTCACGAATTGTGTACCGTGATCGCTTACAAAAACGTTGGGAATACCGAAGGTAGCAAAAATTTCTCGGCATTTCTGAATCATGACACTCGTTGTCATATTCGGTACTATGTGGACTTCAGGCCACTTGCTGAAGGCATCGATTAAAATGAACAAATATTTGCCCATAAATGGTCCCGCAAAATCGGCGTGCACTCTCTCAAATGGTTTCCTTGGTCGCACCCAACTGTGGGTTGGCCTAACTTCTCTGGGGTTTGGTCTAGAAAGTTGGCATGCGGAACAATGTGAAACTAATTCCTCAATGTCCTTGTCCATCCTGTTCCACCAACAGTACGCTCTTGCAAGGCTTTTCATTCTGCTAATTCCAAAGTGTGCATAATGCAGCTCCTCCAGAATTCTTTTACGTAAGGATGCTGGAACATACACCCGTAACCCCCGCATCAAACAACCGTGTTGCAGACTAAACTCTGTCTGAGTGATTCCGAAACGGTGTT